CACACACACACACACACACACACACACACACACACACACACACACACACACACACACACACACACACGCACGACTCGCACCGGCTGAGGAGCCCGATGCTCTGGAACGAATGAGGCCCTTCTTCTTCACGATGAAGCTCAGCCCAATGAAGGCACTGGACGAAAGAGCCAGCCCTACTCCGATCCGGTTGTCTCGGTTGTCCATCGTTGCGTGGTGGTGCGATCAGCAGCAGCGAGATGCTTTGTGTGTGGGAGTTGCTGTCCTTCTTCCAAAAATACGCTTGATGTGATGTGATGTGACTTGACTTTGCGTGCTCACTGGTTTATGCACACACAGACACACACACACACACACACACACACACACAGACACATCACTCGGGCTTCCATCGCCATGAGGGGCCAGTGCGCGCATCCCGAACCTCCACGCCATGCGACCCTGCAGAAGTGGAGGAGGGAGTGGGACAGTGTGAGCTGCAGTTAAGGGGAACATGGTTCAAATGGCGGCCTGGCAGCGAGAACACAGACAGCATTACTGACTCTTGTCACGAACCAAGCTGGTCGCGGGTGGCGTCGCATGCTGCCAGTAATCTTCCTTTCACATCCGCATCGCCACTCGATAGCGCAATCTCGCGCGCAGTGCTACGCAGCTCCACGCACGCGTCGATAACACCAGCCGCGCGGCTGCCATCAGTAGTAGTAGTGCTGCTGCTGCTGCTGCTTCCACTTGGCGACGGCAGTGTCAAGCCAAACATCTCCAGCACACCGCGCACCCATCGCCCGGCTGTTGAAGGTGGAGAAGGTGGAGGAGGAGGAGAAGGTGGAGAAGAAGGTGGGGAGCGGGAGTGCAGGCGTTTCGTGTACCAATGGGGCGTAAGCAACTTGGGTTGTGTGCTAGGGCAAGCAGGGCTGGTTGCACTCAAGCGCATGCAACACATGGTGCGCAGAAGAGTGTCACGAACCATGGGAGAGGACGCCCAGTGCAACATCGCTGTTTGCAGCGGCGTGATTCGTCGATGTGACCACTTGATTCACAATCTGAAGAATCAAGGGGGGGGGAGTGTGGTCGTCGTAACGCCAGTGACGGTCATGAGACATGACATGAGCTATTGTGGACACACTCACATACATGTAGATACAAACAGACAAACAGACAAACAGACAAACAGACAAACACACACAGACACACACGTGCTTACGGACCTTGAGGGCCTGGGGTGTGTTAAAGTCGTCACAGAGAGCAGCGTCCAGGGCAGCAGCGGATGTGCACATGGTTTCCATTAACTCCACACACGCCGGCGATGGCCGCAGACTCTGCATATGAACACGAGAGTGTAAGTAGTTGTATGTGCGTGAGAGTGTGTGGTTGGGGATAAGCTGGGGACGAGCTTGTGATGTATGATGAAGATTTGTTAAACAGAAAAAGACATGAAAGCACCGATAGAGGCGGAGGGAGACAGACAGACAGACAGGCAGACAGACAGACAGACAGACAGACAGACAGACAGACAGACAGACAGACAGACGCACACACACAATTACATCGACGTTGTCATGGCAGCACCTGTGTTTGCGGAGGGGCGAATGGCGTGGTGGCGTCCATGTTGGCGACGAAAGAGGAGAGGCGCTGGAGAAGACGAGATGCCGCCGTCACGTCGCTGTCGCTGAACGCAATGCTGAACAATGGACAAGGCCGAAACCCACCGCCGCAACCAAAGCACCGTGGGTCAGATGACAACATGCACATGCGGGTCGCAGCCGACACACGTGCACGCAGACACACAGACACACACAGACACACACAAGGCGCAGACACAGACACAAGGCGCACACAGAGACACAGACACAGACGCGCGTGTGCGCACGTAGACTTACTCTGATCGATAGCGGGATTGCAGGCAGAGCATGCGCAGGTCGTTGTGTGTGTGTGACTGCAGAAAGTCCTTGATGGCGATTGTGTTTCCAAGCGACTTTGACATCTTCTCGCTGCGCGTTGTGAGGTGTCCTGTGTGCCAGAAGTGCCGCACCCAGTCGCAGTGGCCATAGTGGCTCTCTGGTCGACGGAGTGTGGGAGCCAGCGTGTGTGCGTGAGAGTGTGAGTGTGAGTTCGTGAGTGAGGGTGAGTGTGAGAGATTTTGAGAGCACGTGCTTGTCGTTGCGTGCAGTCAAGGGCAGGGTGTCCACACTCCTTGGGCATGCGTAGCCAGCGGTGCAATCGAGAGTGCAGTACTCACCACATTGCGCAAGCTCGTTTGTGTGATGCGGATACAGAAGATCGATTCTGCGTACATGTACACAAGTGCGTGAGGGGATCGCATGCAGTGTCACTCACAATGGAGCCAGTAGCACCAGCACCAACACCAGCAGCACCACTGTCATCTTGATCGTCCCAGTTATTCCATGTCACACACAAACTCTCAGCGCACCCACCCGCCCGTGTGAATGTCGATGTGTTGCCCAAGGTACTTGCTTGCCATGGCAGAGCACTCAATGTGCCTTGAGCGTGAACATGAGAGCAGACAGCAGGGATTCGTGACTTGCACGTGCACAAGCGATCCTGACCGACGCGAGCAAGCAGGCATGTACAAAGGTGCGACTTGGGGAAATCGTCCACGTCACACAGACATGCAGACACACATGCACAGACACACATGCACAGACACACATGCACAGACAGACAGGCACAGACACACAGATACACAGACACACAGACACAGGCACAGACAGACAGACAGACAGACAGACAGACACCCCCCCCACACACACACGCACGCACGACTCGCGCGCGTGCACACACAAACACAAACACACCATGTGCAGCCTTGACTCACCACCCTGGTCTGCCTTTGCCAAATGGAGCGTCCCATGTTGGGTCCCCAGCGTCACCGCGCTTCCACAGCGCAAAGTCTGCACGGTGTCGCTTATGTGCAGCGTCGTTGCTGTCGGCAGCAGCACCCGCATCTGCATCTGCACGTGTTGACGCTGCTGCTGTGGATTGCACCCCTTTTCCTAAGCGGCCGTACTTGTCCTCACCAAAGGCTTGAAGATCAAAGTACACGCCACTCGGCGTCACGTACGCGTGCCCTCGATCAAGAATCCCCTGTTTGAACCAGACACGGGCAACACACGCGCTTGCGTTGTGAGCTGGACTTGCAGCTGTTGACAAGCACAACACTGGGTTAACACACACACACACACACACACGCACACACGCACACACACACACACACCTGCACACATAGACAGACAGACAGAGACACAGAGACAGAGAAGCAGATGCACACACAATGACACCCACACCCGCACACCCACATACACCCACACCGACCCACACCGACCCACACCGACCCACACACACACACACACACACACACACACACACACACACACACACACACACATACACATGCACAACAACTGCACCTGTATGAACTCAATGATCTCGTCGATGTGTTCCGTGACGCGCGTGATATGGGCTGGTGGAAGGATATTCAACGCAGCCATGTCTTGGAAGAACGATTCCTCATATTGCCGAGCAATATCCTAGTGAAGACGTGAGAGATAAGCATATGGGAGGCGGGCCGAGGTCGCAGAGACAGAGATATGAGAAAGAGCAAGAAGATGACGTTTGCCCGCGCAAGCACCACAGACAGACAGGCAGGCAGGCAGGCAGGCAGACAGACACACCCCTCCACCACACATCCCAACAAACCTGCCAGTGACGCTGCTCTGTGTGTGCCTTCCGAATGATCTTGTCGTCAATGTCTGTCATGCCCCAGACTTGCAGCACATGCATCCCAAAGTGGCGTTCCATGACGCGCCTCAAGATGTCAAAGCGCTGGAAGCACACTGCATGTCCGATGTGCGAGTGATCATACACCGTAGGTCCACACTGATACCATGTCAGCCACCCTCTTTCGTTCACCCCGGCCGGGTTCACCGTCTCCAGCTGCCTTGTCAGCCCATTAAACACCCGCAACGCCCTGCCACCACCAGCAGCAACCCTGCCACCACAGCTCATCATCGTTGTTGGTTGTCCTCCCTCGTGTGTGTGCAATTCTTCATCTCACGAAAACAAACACACACAAAGCAACAGCAGACCACGTGGGTGCAGTTGTCAGCTGACTTGTTGCTTGCTTGTGTTGAGGAGTTTGCTTGCGATCGCTTCTTGGATTGAGGCAGGCAGTTGAGGGGGAAGCATGGAGATGCAAGGGCAGAAGCAGCAGCCCAAGGGCAGGTGCACGCGGTTCAGCGAGCTGGCGTTGGCTGAGCGTTTGCAGAAGTGCATCGCAACGCGCCTCAAGCTGGAGGAGATGACCAAGCCGCAGCAGCTGGCGATCCCACTCATGCTCAAAGGTGTGCGTGTGCGTGTGCGTGTGCGTGTGCGTGTGCGTGTGCGTGTGCGTGTGCGTGTGCGTGTGCGTGTGCGTGTGCGTGTGCGTGTGCGTGTGCGTGTGCGTGTGCGTGTGCGTGTGCGTGTGCGTGTGCGTGTGCGTGTGCGTGTGCACGTCTACGTGCATGTGTGTGCGTACGTGCGTTTAAGGGCTGCTGCATGCGGGTGGCTCGCGCAAGCAACATGCGCACTCACACACACACACCCTTCCCCCCTTCCCCGCATCCCTTGTATTTCTCTTGCAGGCGAGGATGTCATGCTGCGGTCAGCCACAGGTACGGGCAAGACCCTGGCCTACGCGGTGCCCATCATCAACGACTTGCAGAACCTCAAGTTCCGCGTCAAGCGCTCAGATGGGCCCCTGGCAGTTGTGCTGTGCCCAACGCGTGAGTTGGCCAAGCAGAGCTTCGAGGTCATCAAACAACTGCTTTCGTCCTCGGTGTGGATCGTGCCTGGTCTCCTCACTGGTGGCGAGAAGAAGAAGTCGCAGAAGGCCAGCATTCGCAAGGGCATCAACGTCCTCAGTGAGTTGCATGGCAGTTCATATGTGTGTGTGTACACAGTTGTTGTGCGTGTGTGTGTGTTTGTGTGTGTGTGTGTGCGAGGCTGTGTGTGTACGTGGCTGTGTAATTCTTAGGCATACGTTGCATATGGATGTGCATTTGCTGCTGTCACCGAGCGCCAACGTCCTCCTCATATGTCATCTGTCGTGCGCACTGTGCAGTCGCCACCCCTGGTCGCCTTCTCGACCACATTGAGAGCACGCAATCGCTACAGCTCAAGAGCATTCGCTGGCTCGTTCTCGACGAGGCCGATCGGTTCGTGCACACACGCACACACATGCAAATGCACTGCTTGACGTGCGTACACACACACACACACACACACACACACACACACACACACACACACACACACACACACACACACAATGCTTGCCTCCCCCCCTCTGGCTTGCAGGCTGATGGATGAAGGGTTTGAGAAGAGCGTGACCAAGATTGTCAAAGCCATGGACGATGCCCGCAGCAAGACCAACAAGTCAAAGCGCAGGTGGGGCGTGTTGTGTACGTGGATGTATGTGGGTGTATGGGTGTTTATGGGCATGTGCATGTGTGTGCATGTGCGTGTGTGTGCGTGTGCATGTGTGTGTGCATATGTGTGCATATGTGTGCATGTGTGTGTGCATATGTGTGCATGTGTGTGTGGACCGTGACATTTTGTTTATTTCAACGTCGATGACATGGCGATGCTGTGCGCTGGGTACAGGATCAACGCCTTGGTCTCCGCCACACTCACGGACAGCGTGAAGCGCTTGGCAAAGGTGCTGTGTCCTCACTGCCCATCAACCATATTGTTGGTGGTGGTGCTGCTGCTGTGTGTGTGCGTCTGTTGCTGGGAGCGTGGAGAATGGAGAGTGTTCTCGCCGTGAGCGCCACGCACGCTCACACAAACACACACTTGCACACACACACACACACACACACACACACACACACACACACACACACACACACACGCAAATGCACGCAACATCTTTCTCACACTCCATGCCCTTCATCAACCCGTCCTCCCCCCTTGTTTGCCCCTCCGTCACAAACACGCCGCAACACCAGATGATTCTGTCGCAGCCGATGTTCGTGGATGCGCACGCGGAGACAACACGGCGGCTCAAGATCGCCAAGAAGACCCTGCACAAGAGCACAGACAGCAGCACTGGTGGTGATGATGGCGCGAGCAGTGGTGGCAGTGGTGGTGCAGGGAAGGGAGGAGAGGGGGACCAGTCGACGAACGCAGCCGGTAGTGGCGAACACGACGACGCGTCACAGACACGTGACCGTGACGACAGCATCGGCGCCAACGGTGGTGACGATGGTGACGATGGTGATGGTGATGATGACGATGGCACAATGAGCAGCGCCAAACGCCGGGCGGCGAGAAGAGGAGAGGCACTGAAGGATGCGAAGACATGGGTCATCCCAGAGAAGCTCAAGCAGCAGGTGGCCATCGTCCCATGCAAGGTACACCGAGCCGTGTCATGTGCCATGATGACATTGAGGGAAGGGATAGCGGGGAGCGTATTGTCATGGGCGGTTGTTGTTTGACGCCACCTGCCCATCTAGCTCCGTCTCGCGTCGCTACCACATATGAAGACTAATACACCACACTAACACGCCATTCCTCCTTACTTCCTCCGGCACTTTGCCTGCTCTGCATGTCCATGTTCTTACACACCACCTGCCCACTCCCCCTCTACCCTGTCTCATCTTGCACCATCACCATCTGCCGTGCTCGCGTCTTCAGCAACGCCTCATGTGTGTAGCGTCGCTGCTCAAGGCAACATGCGGCTCTGGTGCACCGAAGAGCGACAAGGCATGTGCATCGCGCTTGTGTGCTTTGTGTGCTTTGTGTGCGTGTGCGTGTGCGTGCACTGTGTGGTTTTGTGCTTGTGTGTGTATGCGTGTTACGGGAGGGGAATCATTCGTTGCTTGCATCGCTCCCCTGCTCGCTGCCTGTTTCCCTCATGCTGTGATGTTCTTTGTGTGGTGGCACTGTGCAGGTGATTGTGTTTGTGTCGTGTCGTGACGAGGTGTCGTACTACGAGAAGCTGCTCCAGCCGTACATTCACAAGGTATGTGGCGGTGTTGACCCCTCTCTTCTGCACACATGCACAGGCAAGCACATTGATATCCAATCACACACACACACACACACACACTCACACACACACGCTCATCACTCACATACCAATCACACACGTACAATACGCACACATACAATACGCACGCACAATACACACACACATACATACACACACACACACACACACACACCCACCCACACCCCCCCCCACACACACACAGGACGCGCGCATCGATGACGATGACGACAACGACCGCGGAGATGGAGAGGAGAAGAAGCGAAGAGCAAAGGAAAAGAAGGAGAGAGACAACAAGAAAGCGAAGCTTGCACAGAGGACACAAGGCGGCGCAGACGACGGTGGCAGCCGCAAGAGCAAGGCAACGGACGCAGCATCAACATCATCGTCATCAGCATCATCGTCTGGTAGCGGGAAGAGCGCAAAGGCCGTCGCGTTCGTATCAGCGAAACGCAGAAAAGACAAGCTGCCTGCAGGCACGAGCACCGCTGTCGATGACGCCGAAGGTGACGGCGGCGACGGGCAGTTTGTTGGGTTCAAGTTTGGGTTTGGTGGTAGTGCCGGCGATTCGAACGCTGGGCGTGGAGACAGCCACAGCAGCGGTGGTGATGGCGCTGGGGAAGTCAAGGATGCTGCGATGGGCAGCGACGAGGAGGGAGATATGGGGGCCAGCCGCCACAACGGCGACAATGATGACGACAATGATGACGACAATGATGACGACAATGATGACGATGACAGCGGTGATGAGCAGGAGGATGGTGGCCAAAACCGTGTTGCCACGTACCTGCAGGGTCTGCGCGTGTTCTTCCTTCACGGCGGAATGCGACACAAGGAGCGCGTCAAGGCGTATTCAAAGTTCGCCAAGGTGTGTGCGTTGTTGCGTGTGTCTGGTGTTGCTCGTGTGTGTTGCTCGTGTGTGTTATGATGGTGTGACGTATGTGTGTGTGTGTTGCTTGTGTGTGTGTGTATGTGTGTGTGCGTATGTGGTACGTGTGTGTGTGTGCACCGCGTTTACTCGTTGCCATGGCAATTTCCTCATGCTCATGCGTGTTTTGCTTGCAGGCACCCAATGCCGCCCTCATTTGCACAGACGTTGCTGCACGTGGTCTTGATCTTCCAAACGTAAGGAACGATGTGTGCGGGAGTGTGTGCTGTGTGCTTGCGGTGATTTTGCTGCGTTTGCTCTCTCTGTGTGTGTGTTTAGTGTCGGTTTGAGTCGCGCATGCTGATAAGCACACCATCGAGCCCACATCTCCTCCTCAACACACGCATGTACGCAGGTGACGTGGGTGATACAGCTGAGTGCGCCTGCTTCGATTGAGGACTACGTGCACCGCATCGGCCGCACAGCTCGGTGGGTGGCGCACACGACTACTTCTCGTCTTGCTGCTGCTGCTGCTGCTGCTGCTGCTGCTGTTGTTGTTGTTGTTGTGATGCCGGCTGGGTACACGTGGCGAAGAAGAGGCATGTCCATCCCAACACAAAGGATTTGCATCTGCACCTGACAGCTCATCTTCGCGGCACACACACACACACACACACACACACACACACACACCAACAGGTCTGGACGCGGTGGTACGTCGTTGCTGTTTCTTCTGCCATCGGAACAGGAATTCGTGTCCGATGTTCTTCAGGAAAAGGGCCTCAAGTAAGCACGAGCAAGTGTCGTGTGTCAAAGTTGTTGTTCTGCCGTCTCTTGTCATGTGCTGCATGCACACTCACACGAGTACGGACTTGCGAGCACATTATTTACGAACGCGCATCAGCACTGTGCACATCACCGCCACACTCTTCCTCGAAGCCACTCACCACCAACCACCGACCACTGTCTTGTGTCGGGCGCACTGCAGTCCAACACCTGTTGAGGCGTCGTCCTTGCTTGAGCGCATGCCGCTGCACCGCGGCGCCCGCGACCACCGCGACCTCGCAATCAGGTGAGCAGTGATGGTAGTGATGGCGGTGATGGTGGCTGTAGTGATGGTGATGGCAGGGGCGTGTCGTGCGGGTTGTTGTGATGTGGCACCGATGTTGTCATGTGGCTGTCGTGTGTAGCAATGACGTGATGGGTGTGGTTGGATCGTGTGTGTCGTCGTCTTATTGCACTATGGCTTGGCTTGTGCTCGCTATTGGTTCTCATCTGCTGTGACCATCACCGCCACGCTGTTTTGCAATGCTCAAGGCTTCAAATTCACTTTGAGAATCGCGTGTCGCACAATCCGGATGTTTCTGCCGCTGCGCGCCGCGCCTACTCATCTTTCATCAGGTGTGCGTGGGCGTGCGTGTGAGTGAGTGTGAGGGAGTGAGTGTAGGTGTGTGAGTGTGTGTCTACGTGCATGCGTTCGTGCTTGTTTCTCTGGCATATGAATCTCTTTTTCCTTTCACTCAACCACCATCATTGTCTGCCCGAACCCCCCTCCCACAACTCCCTTTCTTGTTGTTTGCAGGTCCTACGCCACATATCCGTCTGCGTTGAAGCACATCTTCCACATCTCGGCCCTCCACTTTGGCCACGTTGCAAAGTCGTTTGCTCTGCAGCAGGCGCCCTCGCAGATTGCCGTGAGTCGAGTGTTGTTGTTGATGATGAGGGTGTTGGTGTTGTTGTTGTTGTTGTGTATTGAGGCAGGGGGAGGTGGAGACATGATGTGCACGCGGCTATGCTTGTCGCGTGTGTACATTTGCGTTGCGTTGCACAGCGTGCATGTGTGTTGCATTACATCTCAACGCACGAACACACACACACACACACACACACACACACACACACACACACACACACACACACACACACACACACACACACACACACACACACACACGCACAGGTGCTGAACCAGCGGCGCATGACGCAGCGGCAGCAGGTGAAGCGGCGACGGGAGATGAAGAAGACGGCAGCGCAGCAGATGAAGAGGGGCGCACGCAAGGTCTTCGAGCGCGCAATCGCCAGCGAGTTTGGGGGCGGTGTCATTGACAGCAAGCGCGCAAAGACCTTCAAGAAGAGCAAGAGGAAATAGGACACGCGTTTGTGTGCGTGCGTGTGTGTATCTGTGCTTGTGGCGTGTGTGCGTGTGCGTGTGGGGGTGCGTGTGTAGTGGTGTTTGTGTCGCATCATGCCCAATCACCCCCTCTCTTTGCACAAACGTGTCGCTGCTGGTTGTATGGTGTGTTGTATTGAGGATGGTGTGGCTTGGGTGTGTGTATGTTGTTTGTTGGGCGAAACAAGAAAAACGCACCCAGGCAAAGGAAGATGTCAACAACGGGAGTCAACAGCAGCAAATGCATTGAAACGGTTGTGTTGGGACACACAGCACACGCGTGGGTAGTGCATGGACGGTTCATTGGCCATCAACACACGCGCACGCGTACACAGCAGCAGCATGCACCGCTCATGACAGCAGCGCATGTGCACACAGCGCCGAGGGTTTACTGGCTGGCCTTGACCGCGGGGGTGTAGCGGCCGATGCAGTTGAGGTCGGCAAACGACTCCTCAAGGCGCTTCACCTGTGGTGTGGGTGGGTGTTGACATGGTGGTGTAGAGCGTGCATCCATGACAGATGACGTGGGGTGCAAGCAGAGTGAGAGTGGCAAGTGTTGTGAATGCAATGTACACGTCCACAGCGTCAGCAGCACCGTTGGCGAGTGGGACTGACCATGCTCTCCTCGGCCTTGCGCAGCCACACGCGCGGGTCGTACTTCTTCTTGTTGGGCTTGTCCTCACCCTCTGGGTTGCCAATCTGGCCCTGCGCTCCACACACACACACACACACACACACACACACACACACACACACACACACACACACACACACACACACACACACACACACACACACACCAACACGTCAGGTGGATGGGCGTGTGGGTGCACACAGGGGTAAGCACGCATGTCACCGACCGCAATGCCTGCAGGGAAGAAAAAAAAAAAAGCAACTCCACAGTACCGAATCGCGTTCACACGCACACACATCTACACATACACAGATCGGACCTGGAGGTAGTCGTGGGTCTTTGCCTCGTACTCGCGGACGCCGTTCCAGTATGCCCACTGTGTGTCTGTGTCGATGTTCATCTTGATCACGCCATAGGAGATGGCCTCCTTGATCTTCGACTTCTCAGAGCCAGAGCCGCCGTGGAACACAAACAGCACCGGCTGCGCACGCACAATCACATGCAAACACAGCAACATTACAACAGCGGTCAAGCGTGTGTGTAAAATCTGTGAGCGTTGCGAAGGACAAAGTAGGAACCAAGCTGTCACAGTCGCTGATAAAGAAAAAAAAAAAAAAAACAAGGCAATGTGCACACAGCAGGATGACAAGCCACCATGGCGCACCTTGTCGTCCTCGGTGCCGAGCTGCTTCTTGACGTAGTCCTGCGAGTGCTTCAGAATCTCGGGGGACAGCTTCACGTTGCCGGGCTGTTTGGGAGGAAATCAGCGAAACACACACACACACACACACACACACACGAACAAACGAATGAAAGGAGCGAGCACATCCACGCGCGGATGGGAGCGTCAGCAGGTGTGCAACTATTTCTGACGGTGCGGTACGTGAGGATTGTGTTTGTCAGGAGCACAGGGCACACCGCGGGAGGAGCCACGACAATTCAACAAGAGTGCGGCCATGCAGTGCAGTGATGCGGCGCTGCTGACCTTGTACACGCCGTGGACGTTGCCAAAGGCGGCGGCGATGGTGAAGTTGTGGCTGATCTCAGAGAGATGCTTGTAGCAGCGCTGATGGCATCGGAAATGAAGGTGCAGGTATCACACAAACGAAAGGGTGGTACGTGGATGGTTGTTTTTGGTGATGGTGAGCAAGATCACAACGCTCAATTCGACACAGCTGCAGGAAGTCGGAGGATGCACAGTTGGCAGGCGCCTGATGCATACACACGTGTGACGCACGAACAAGCGAGCGAGCTCACTAACATGTCACATACGCAGACACAGACACACGCAGACACACGTAGACACACACAGACACACACGCAGACACGCAGACACACACTCGCGTGGTGTGTACGTGAGCGGGCAAGTACGGGTAAGCGGCAGGCAAAGGCGGGATGCGTACCCAGATGTCCTCTGGCTGGGAGTAGAGGGCAGCGTTGTCGACATCCGAGTTGTCGACGCCGTCCTCCTCGCCGCCGGTGATGCCCATCTCCATCTCAAGCAGGATGTTCAGGCGCGCGCACCGCTTCAGGTACTCCCCAGAGATGCGGATGTTCTTCTCCATGTCGCACTCAGACAGGTCAATCATGTGCGACGAGAACAGAGGCACGCCTGGAAGTGATGGTGGTGGTGACGATTGATGGTTGTGTTGCCGATTTGTGGTGGTCGCACGCCCGGGGCAAGCCGTCACATGTACATGTGAGCAATGTGTGAAGAAGGAAAGCAAATTCACATCAGAGACAGCAGGTGCAACCAGCGTATACATTCACACACAGCCACACCAGCACGCACATACACGCACATACACGCACAGCCCAGCGACCGCACCGTGCTCCTTGAAGTATGTCTCGTCAGCGTCGAGCATGCCGTCCAGCCAGGGGAGGAGCTTCTCCGCGCAGTGGTCTAGCACACAGCGGTGGTTGCACGGATACGGGGACAGGGGGCTGTGGGCACGAGCGAGCGCAGACCGCGAAGCAAAGCAATATGCATGCACGCAAATTCCAGGCAAGATGCGGAGAGGTGTTGGCGGCCGCACCGGAGTGGAGGATGACGGGAACGCCGTAGTGCTCGGCCATGAGGCGGGCGTGGAAGGCAAAGCTAACCAAACGAGCACAGTGACCGGGGTGTGTGTGTGGATGAGCGGAAGCATGAGCAGAACAGGCAAGGTCGTACAGCGCTGAATGAATCTCTCAGAGGTTTGCAGCGTATGACGATTGCGCACACGACTATTCTTCAAGCATGCATGCACGCACGCATGCACGCATGACACACACACACACACACATGCACACACCTGATGGCACCAGCGATGGAGGCCTGCTGCTCGTTGTTGGGGATGCTCTTGCCGGCGAAGAACTGGGCGCCACCGTTGGACACCTGCAGCATGACGGGGGACTTGACCTTGGCAGCAGCCTCGAGGACGGCGTTGACGGAGCTGGTGCTCACGCAGTTCACGGCTGGGATGGCTGCAGGCACAGCAAGGACGGCAAGGAGGGAAAGGAAGGAAGGGAAGGAGGGCAACCAACAGAAACAACCCCGACCAAGCGAGGCCAAGGGGGGGGGCAAAGAAATGGCGAGAGGAATAAGAGAAGGAAGGGATCAAAGGTGTCGACAACGTTGAGGAGAGCAAGCGCCAACGAAACACAGGGAAAAAGGCACGTTTGTTGTGTGGTTGCGTGGATGCATGCATGTGTTTCAATGGGGCATACGTGTGACACGCAGACGCAGACACAGGGTGGCGGTGCACACGTACCGAATCCCTCGTCCTGGGCGTACTTGAGGAGCTTGTGCAGGTTCTCGCCGACGACGACGCCGGGCTTGACATCCTCAGGGAAAGGCATGGTGACCTGTCGAAAATGGCGACAAGACGACGGAGAAAATGGAGCGTCAGTGCCTGCGTGGCACGGGCAAGGCAGTAACACCAAGAGCACACAACAACAACAACAGTACACAAAAACAACAAGAGCACACACACACGCACGCACGCACACACACACACACACACACAACAACAACAAGAGCACACATGCACAGCACTCACTCGGTGGTGAGAGTTGGTGGGCAGTGGCAACGATGGCAGTGTGGCAGAGAAAAATGAGGCAATACCACAAGAAGGGCAGAAGGGCAGAAGGGCAGAAGAAATCGCTGTGGTGGTTTGACGGGATTCTTAGATGTTTTCAACCAATATTCTGCATTTCGAGGCGTACTTTATGTGGTGTCGTGAACACAGAGCTGAGCCGGACGCTGCTGACTGATCATGGTTGGTGTGTGTGTGTGTGTGTTGTGTGTGTGTGTGGTTTTATTGGGGAAAACTCGCTGAAATCTTACACTGTTCCCGGCGCTCAGAGATGGGGAAGGCATGTGTGTGTGTGTGTGTGTGTGTGTGTGTGTGTGTGTGTGTGTGTGTGTGTGTGTGTGTGTGTGTGTTGTGTGTGTGTGTGTGTGTGTGTTGTGTGTGTGTGTGTGTGTGTGTGTGTGTGTGTGTGTGTGTGTGTGTGTGCGCGTGCGTGCGTGTGTGTGTGTGTGTGTGTGTACAAGGGCTTGTGCTTAGTGGCATCTCTCCCCCACTCCCTCTCCCTCTTTTTGACCAAACTTGGTTCCATCGCTCATACATCATCCTGTGTACAGGCGGAGGAACAGAACGTTGAGCGGGCAGCGTCCCCAAAGCCGATTCCAACAACGCGGCTCTACTACAACGACACGTATCAGGTGGTGTTTTCATTCAAGTCCCGTGAGTGTGTGTTGGAGGGTGTGACATCAAGGGTATCTGAAGTGGAGGGTCTGAAGTGGAGTGGCGAGGCGGGTGCGCCTTCCCTTGAATAGCTGCACCTTTCCTTCAATAGCCACATTTCCTGATGGAGATCTGTTGCCGTTGTTTTTGCTGCTGTTGCTGTGTACAGTTTGAAGGCAACGCGGAAGTGCTGTCTGTGTTTGAGTGCGAGGACAGCGATAATGGCGATGGATCGAAGCAGTGGATTGTTCTTCTGAACCAGACGCTGTTTCATCCCCAAGGAGGTGCGTTATGATTAGGCTTGCAGCCCTGGGCCTCAGACACTTGCTTTGGGCTCGTGTCCGCTTCTCATTCTTGATGCCGCATGTCGCATCACACCAACTAGTTCGCTCGCTGAGGTGATGTGACATGATGTGACAACACATGCAAAAATGGCTGCAACTTGCGCCCATGGTTGCCGAACTCGTGTTCTCACTGTGCGTTTCTCATGGGTTGTTGTGGCTTGTTTTGCGTCGGGCTCATTGTTTTGGTTTGTGTTTGATGTCCAGGTGGGCAGCCAAGCGACACGGGGACCATCACCAAGGATGACGCCGTGTTTCGCGTCACTCACGTGCGCATCTCCAAGGATCGCCATGGCGTGGTCGAACACCTGGGCACTTTTGCCAACCCCAACAGGTGTGCGCGTATGTGTGTGTACGTTTGTGTGTGTGTGCGTGTTCGTGTGTGTGCGTGTGCGTGTGCGTGTGCGTGTGCGTGTGCGTGTGCGTGTGCGTGTGCGTGTGTGCGTGTGTGCGTGTGTGCGTGTGTGCGTGTGTGCGTGTGTGTGCGTGTGTGCGTGTGTGCGTGTGCGTGTGTGAATGTGTGCGTGTGTGCGTGTGCGTGTGTGTGTGTACGTTTGTTGTGTGTTTGCCGTTGTTATTTGTTGATCAACATGTGACATTGTGGAGATGCTGGTGTTGCGTTATATCATTGCAGCTTTGCGGACAGCATTCCAAACACGCTGTTCGTGCTCACTGATGTGCTTCAATTGCGTGCCACGGTCACAGCACCTTGTGCGCTGGCGACGAGGTCTCCCTTGCTGTTGATGCAGACAAGCGCCGCCGCCACGCAAGGTGAATACACAGGGGCAAGTGCCTGTAGACGTGTGTGTGCGTGCACGTGTGCGTCTGCACGTGGGGCTGACCTCAAACAAGGCGAACCAGCTGGCCAGCCAGCGCAAATTGCACGCCAGCTCTTGCACACACACATACACACACTCAGTTACTCACTCCAACTGTCTCACCTCGTGGGAGCAGACTGCACTCGGCCGGGCATCTGCTGGATGCGGCGATGCACTCGGCCGGGCATCTGCTGGATGCGGCGATGCAGGCGATTGGACGAACGGACCTGGACACACGCTTGCATTTGCATTGTGCGCGCGCGTGTGTGTGCATCTGTGTGCATTTGTGTGCATCTGTGTGCATTTGTGTGCATTTGTGTGCATTTGTGTGCATTTGTGTGCATTTGTGTGCATTTGTGTGTGTGTGTGCACTTGTCCATGTGTGTGCATTTTGTTGCCATCGCACTTGTCCATGTGTGTGCATTTTGTTGCCATCGCACTCACACCCGCTCGCATCGTCGCGCGGGCTCGTCCCTGCAAGCACAGAGTACATTGGGGCAATCCCCGCTGAGGAGCGGGCGGCTGTGGTCGCAAGGCTGAACGAGGCCGTCTCAACGCTCGTCAGCAAGAACACAGATGTCTCTATGCGCATCTACGATGTGGAGGGGTCCGAACTCCGTGAGTGACATGGCGCAACGCGTGCACACGTGTGTGTGTGTGTGTGCGTGCGTGTGTGCACATGGTGTGAATGTGTTTGTGGGGACTTTGCCTGTACGTGCCTGTGGCTGCGTGAGCAAGTCTGCTTGTATGGGAGCACTAGGTCCTGTGTAAACCTCCCCCCTCCACTTCATTGGCGATTCACGTGACTGTGCTTCTTTGCGCGTCTGATGTGTTAGCGCGTCGTGTTGTCTCCGTTGGCGGGTGCGAGTGCGCTTGCGGCGGCACCCACGTCAACAACACCAGCCAGCTGCAGGTATATCGCGTGCATACGTGCATGCGCTGTGCGTGTGATGACATGCTCCTCCCCATTCGCTTGCCTGCTCCCGTTCGCTACTGGATCGCTCGTGCAATGCGTCCTTCCACCCACACCCACCCACACACACCCACCCACCTACCCACACACACACACACACACACACACACACACACACACACACACACACACACACACACACACACACACACACACACACACACACACACACACACACACATGGTGTGCCATTGCCAAGGGCCTGCGGGTGACGCGCATCAAGAAGAACAAGAAGGCGGCGAAGGTGTACTACGAGCTGGACGAACAGGCGGCAAGCAACGATGCAGAAGGAAAGAAAACCCATGCAACACAGACAACCCAAGACGAACACCCACCACAGGCACACGCACAATCACAGGAGACGCAGGAGACGCAGGAGGCACGTGCAGAGGTGTGATTGACGCCACTGACATCACTCATCCGTTGAACACCCCCATAAACAACAATCATCATCATCATCATCATCATCAAACAACAAACACCGCAGCACCGTACTGACAAGCACACAGACACACGGCGCCGATCAAATGGAGGAGAGCGGTGGCTGCTGGAGGTGGCAGGTGGATGAGCGGGCGGCGCTGATGCGCGTGCCCGCCGGTGCATCCTTTGCACTGCATGGCGACTATACCATCACCGTGCTTCGTGGCGAGTTTGATGTCTGTGGCACGGCTCTGAGCCGCGCATGCGCGCCGCTGGCCATCTCGGCTGCCTTGACGGCATCAGCACCATCCATACTGTGCACGAGCAATGCACTGCGCGAGGAAGGCACTGGCGGCGGTGGCCATGATGACGCTCATCACGCGGGCAACAGCGACGAAGACACCGCCAAGCTCGTGCATCTGTGCCAGCACATGATGCAGGAGATCGAAGCCGGGGCAAGCACGGCCGCACCTCATCATGCAGCCAGTGCTCCTCCGTCAACAGCAGCTCCGACACTGACTGAAGCATCCAGCCAGCAGCAGCAGCAACTACAACAACAGATGCAGGAGCAACAGCAGGAGCAACAGCAGGAGCAACAGCAGCAGGAGCAGCAGCAGCAACAACACCAACACCAGGTGCAGGGGCAAGCACGATGGCGCGGTACGGCTGGGTTCGTGGCGGTTGTGCTGGCCAACCCGTCTGACGTCGCTCTGGCGTTTGCGCACAACAACATCTATCCGCAGGCGTTCAAAGCCCTCACGAGGGACTCCGTCGCTGTTCATGCAAACAGCATCGACGATGAGGATGCTGCTCAGGCGCCCCGCCCCAAGGCAAGCAAAAGCAGCACCGCTGCTGATAATGACACAGGTGATGCGACAGCAGGGAGCGCCGTGCAGCCTGGATCGCAGCTGCTTCCGGGCTTGCTCGTGGCGTCCCACGGTACCATCATTGATGACAAGCTTCGGTGCGTGCGTGCATACTTGTATGCGCTTGTGCGTGCGTGCGCGTGTGTATGAATGTGTGCGTGTGCATGTGCGTGTGCGTGTGCGTGTTCGTGTGCGTGTATGCGCGTGTGGATGTGTTCGTGTGTGAATGTGTGTGTGTATGTGTGAATGTGTGCGCGTGTGCGTGGATTGTTCGTGTGCGTGTGGATGTGTGCGGGTGTGTATGTGCGTGCATGCTTGTTTGATTTCACCCGCAGCTTGTGCACCCTTCTCACTCATCCAGCGGCTCCTTGCCAACTTGCGCAGATCATTTGCCGACCAGCTGCTGGCGACACGCGGACGTAACCCACCATCTGTCCTGCTGTGTGGTGCCAAGGGTGCCGGCAAGTCGACCACCCTGCGCTATCTCGTCAATCGCCTGCTGTCGCGCTTCCCGCGCGTTGCCTTGCTGGATGGCGACATCGGCCAAGCGGAGTGCACGCCCCCGGCCACCATCAGCCTTGTCATGATCACGGAGCCCCTCTTCTCCTCCCCCTTCACCCACATCAAGGTGTGATCAATGCGTGATCAATGTGTGTGTGTGTGCTTGCGTGTGCTTGCGTGTGCTTGCGTGTGCTTGCGTGTGCTTGCGTGTGTGTGTGTGTGTGCTTGCGTGTGCTTGCGTGTGCTTGCGTGTGCTTGCGTGTGCTTGCGTGTGTGTGTGTGTGCTTGCGTGTGCTTGCGTGTGCTTGCATGTGTGTGTGTGTGTGTGCTTGCGTGCGTGCTTGCGTGTGCTTGCGTGCGTGTGTGTATCTGTGTCTACACGAGTGCGTGCTTGCCCGTCTGCACCTCTGTGGCGGTGTATTCCGCGACTGCGTTCACATGCACACCACTGGCCCGTGCACTTGTTCCCTGGCTCATGCGTGCCTGTATCTGATGCCACTTCTCACATTCCCCCTTCCCAAACCTTCACGTCCATTGTCAGACGCCTGCTGTGTCGTTCTATCTTGGCGACGTGTCCCCGAAAGACTTCCCTCTGCAATACTCCTCGGCGATCGCTGGCGCCTTTGAGTTCTACAGGTCGTGTCTGTGCGCGTGCGTTCCTGCGCACTCGTGTGTGTATTTGCACGCGTGTGCATGGGTGCGCGCTTGCGTTCGTGTGTGCTGCACACTCCACGAGACAGCCGTTGTCAGCACTTGCTATGATCTGCTGCATTTCTCATCTCCATCGCACGCGACATTCGTGTGTGCATGTATTATATGCACGCAGGCAGCACTATGGGGACGCGCCGCTGGTGATCAACACAATGGGATGGGTCAAGGCGCTCGGGCACGTGCTCCTCGGCGAACTTGTTGCCGTCACCCGCCCGAGGTATCGCGTTGATCACCCATGGCATGTGCCTCACCACACGTGTGTTTGGGCAGGCAGACACGTTTTGAGGTCGAGGTGAAGGATGCAGGCATACAAGCGCACACACGCAATCAACACCACTTGCGCATGCACGCATGCACGCATGCACATCCGACAGCCGATGCTCGTAGCTCAGTGCGCATCCTTGTGTTGCCTCTGCAACACCACCACCGTCACCACGTGCAGGCACATTGTTGAGCTCTTGCTATCCAAGCCCATCAAGAACTTGGATCCACCACTTGAACAAGGCCTGCCACGTACGTGCACATGTGTGCACATGTTCATGGCCTGCGGTTTCCTGCGTGTGTGTGTGTGTGTGGTTGTGTGGTTGTGTGTGGTTGTGTGCGTCGTGCAAGCAGTTTGCTGCTGTTGCACTGCGTGAATTGTATCACCACATGCTCGAGGCGACATCACTTTAGTTATTACAATCACACACACACACACACACACACACACACACACACACACACACACTCACACACACACACACACACCCCAACAAGGGTGGAGCTCACATGTCCCATTGCTTTCACACAGCGTGTCTGTAGTGTTATACACCCCCCCTCGTGACTTTGTATCGACCATTCCGTGCGCCATCAACAACACTGGGATATACCAGCTCTGGCGTCTGTAACACTTGCGATTGAAGAAATTATATCATTC